TCAGATGACTTCTTGTAAGAAGAGAGGATGTTTAATGTGTCCAAAAAGGGGTTTCTAAAAAGCGTCTGCCAGTTTGTTGCTAAGGGGACTGATTTGTGCACTGCTGGTTGCATTGTTGAAAATAGCTTGGACAATGTGTGGATCTAGACATAGCATCCTCAGAAGTACATACAACAAAATATATATAGAAGTTGGAGATTTTAGACATGCTTCTTTATTATGTTAAAGTTAGAGATTTAAGAGTTATTCTCTGAAATTTCCCCACTGTGAGACGAATAAAGGATCTTGTAATCTCTTAATCTCTAAATCGATGACTGAAAAGGCAAATTTAAGATTAGTTGGTGACATTCTTTCAAAGTATTTGCGCAAGAACAGTATTAGGTCTCATTGCATTTACTAATCGACTGCTCATTAGTGAAGGCCTAAACACTTAAAATTCAGGAACGTTCTCCCTAAAACATGTTTGTTTGCACTAGTTGCTTGGCCTTTATTTGTTCAAAATGTATTGTCATTCATTGAAACAATCAAAGATAAAGTAATCTGAGGTGAAAGTGGATTTTTAAGATGTTTCGATGTAATTTACCAGTAATTAAAACTGCCTCCTTTAGCTTATAATACAAGTCTGAATTCTGGTGGAGGGCATTTTGGACCATTCTTCTTTGCAGATCTCTACTTCAGACAGGTTTGATGGGTTCTGAGCATGGATAGCCCATTTCACACCACAAAGATATATTTTTATGTATTTAATAGGGCATAACTTCAAAGATCTTTCCAACCAACAAGCGGATTCTATTCAATAGGCATCACACGCTAAGAATTTCATCTGACGTCAAGTTTGAAACTGTATTTTGCCCAGACTAATCCTCAACCATGAGAGTCTGACAGCAGAGAATGATGGATTTTATGGTTTCGGATGTAGATGGAATACATTTCAGTTTTTTGGAGACATTACGGACAATAATTAGAGGGCAGAGAACACTTACAAAGCATCGCTCCAGGGAGTTTAGTCGCGATGGCGAAAAAAACATAATTCTATGAAACCAAAAAGTAGAGGTTTGCTGAGGACATGAAAGAAGAGAGAGCTTTACCGCAGAGTCTGATGTTAGTGAGCAATTTCCACTCTACAACACAACTGTTACTAAACAATGGATTTAGTTAACAAGACAATTTGGCTAACAACAAACAAATGTGATCAATTTCCGAGGCTTGGAAGTCGACCAAAGCCTCCAGTGCGCATCCATCTGGAGTTTGTCATGAGCCCAACACCTGCATACGACATAATGAATGCGCTGCAGGAAAGAGCATAACCCCCAGACCATATGGAGGCCTCCAATCTTCAATAGATCAAGATGTTTTTCCCTGTGCTCATGCTGTGCTAATTGTTGCTAATTTAACTGTTGTAAACCTGAAAAAAAATAAAACAAGGGCACACTTCCTCAGAGACAACAACAAAGCAGCTACAAGGAAAAAACAGTGATACTAGATTTTTTTTTTGCCAATGCAGTAGGGTCCAAGGAAAGTGGTGATGATCCAGGACATTTGACATACAACAACTATAAAATATACAAATATCAGGAAAGTAATCAAGTAAGTATGTAAGTAATGTTTATCTATATGGCGCATTTTACTGACCAAGGTCACCCAAAGTGTTTTACAATGTTCAGAGTACACGGGCGGCACGGTAGCTGAGTGGATAGCACTCTCGCTTCTCAGCAAGAAGGTCCTGGGTTCGAATCTCGGTCAGAACAGGGACTTTCTGAGTGGAGTTTGCATGTTCTCCCCGTGTCTTCGTAGATTTCCTCTGGGTGCTCCGGTTTCGTCTACCACTAAAAACATGCAGAATAGATATGAACGTAGATGAGAGAGTGAATGGATGGTGTTGATTGGGGGCTTTGATGCACCAGTGTGTTCGGCGACACGCTTCCGTCATCCGTTGTAATGTGCTTTGGGTGACCTTGGTCTGTAAAATGCGCAACATAAATAAACATTACTTTCTTACGTGCAGATATTTTTACATTCCAAGTAAGGACAATTTGATGACGTTTTTATTCTATTCTATTTTATTGTTTTATTATTTTGTTGTACGCTTTTGTGAAGTCCTCCACAATAACTACTGTTATAATTTAGGGCGAGTTGAGAAATACACTTTTAATTTAGTTTAGATAGTTTATGTTTTTATCCAGTGATGTAGCTTAAGCCTTCACCATATCACAAGTCACTTCATGTAACTGCTGGAGAAATGTATGTATGTATGTTTTGCAGGTTAATAATATTTCAGTGTGTATGTATTTTTATCATTGTATTTGTATTGTATGTGTTTAAACTGTTTCTTTGATCTGTGTTGGCAAATTTAGGCCATACAAAAACAGATTGAAAAGAATTGAATTGACACCCGGTGCAACATTTAAAACAAGGAACAAAGAAGCAGGTTTTGCAGGTCTCAAGTGCATGCGAGGAGGAGTAAGCAAAGCACAAAATGAAAACTTAGCACACAGACTGTCAGTTGTAAATCACGGTGAGAGGGGCTGCAGCGGAGATCTCAGGACGGCCATACGAGAAACAACTGGAAGAACCTGCCCCCGGGTCGCACTGCACGACAAGCCCAGACACGAGAGAGAGAGAGCCGCACGCTAAAGACAACAGACACTCCTGTTTCAACGCTTCGGCCACTCCAACAAAATGCTGTGTTTTTAAAAGCTGAAAGGAAAAACAAAGCGTAGCCGACTGCCTCCAATGTTGGTATTAGTGCAAGTTAGAGATTTTACACTTAATTCTTGCTTCTTTATTATGCTAAAGTAAGAGATGTCAAACTCTTTGTTATGGTAAAGTTAGAGAATGTATTAACCCTTTTAACTAAAAGAGAAAGATGTACAAACAATATAGGGAAACATTTGTGGGAAGCCAGATCACTGTAAAGAACGTCTGTGGCACTTAAAGGTTTAAATCACATGAACTAAAATGTACTTTTTAATTGTTGGTGCCTCAGTCCTGCATCGCCTGGCATCGGTCCTTGTTCTACAGTCTGAGTCTGGGATCTGTGGGAGCAGATCCCTCCCTCAATGTGGGCCTCCCAGAGGTTTCTCATTTTCTCCAACAGGGTTTTTAGAGTTATTCCTTGTCGACCCTAACCCTAAACCTGATCACAAACATTTATTTTTCTTCTGTATTTAACTTGAGGAAATGATCGCAGTCAACAAAGCACTTATCCACTCTTACTGAACCACAGTGTGTTTAAAACAGCAACTATTTTGGAACCGCAGAGTAAACATTAAGGGGCTTTATTCCATTTCCTTCTTTGGAGAACATGCTCTTACTAACTCCTTCTTAGCACAAATCTCAATCACATCTGTTGTTGAGAAAGTGTTGGATTACTCTGCAGATGCGAAGCAAATCCTGCAGACCATATTATCTCACCCTATCAGCTGTTTGTTGTGCAACACCATCAGAGAAGTGTTTTTAACTGTGTTTCAATTGATCTCCACGTGTCGCTTGTATAATGCTTTTTTACAGTTAAGTTAATGAAAGATAATTTAATTGTCCCAAAGGGAAATTAACTGTGAGATACATGCTACACAGATCGATCTGCAAGAAAGAATAAAATGGGAGAACATAAATAGAAAAGTGCAGTAGTGCTTTGAAATCTATGTTTGCTCCAATCCAGCATCAAATATAATAATAAAAAGAATAAGAGATCCTTTATTTGTCCCACATTGGGGAAATTCCAGGGTTGCGTCACTGGTGAGGAGCACACAGCAAAAGATAAATGAACAATTACTCTAAATAAAATACACTCGCTAGCTTTATAATACGGCTTAATAACACGGGGCTTCCTGTGGTACTGCAGACTAAATAAGACTAAATTCATGTGTGCTACCCAGAAATTTTCCCCATAGAGCTCAATGTAAACAAAAACAGCTCGTCCTCAGCTAACAGAGAACCTACACCTGAAGCAAGTATACATTTTCCAAATATGGAGAGTATTTATAGAATTAAGTACAAAATCTCTGACTGTAGCAGGAAAGTAAAAGCTTGAAACGGTTTGTCCAAAGTCAAAGAACCCTAAAGCAGGTCTCTAAAGGGTCTCATATTCCTCATATTGATCTCAGAGACTGAAACCCCTGTTTTTTTGGCTCCTGACACATTGGAGAAACTAGGAAAACAAGATTCTGGAGTTTGCTACATTTTTACTATAAAATATCACCTCCAACATGTCAAAGAAACACACACACACAAATGTCGGTCCACCTGAGAAATTGACATCCAAGTCAAAATTTGTAAGCATATTCTTGTTCATATCATACAACAACAGTTATTTAAGAACTGCCCAGATTCATAAGATTCCATTTACGACCAAGATCATAATTCTATCTAGAAGATTGGTGTAAAACCGTTCCTCAAAGTGTAAGTCCAGTTTGAACCTGAAGATTTGAGAAAATGGGTGGAGTCTGGTGTTCTCCTGCTCGGGTTGGTACTAAAACCTGAAGCCAAATTGGCCATTTCAGGAACTGGTTTGACGCCTCTGATCTAGAAGAACAATTCATATTCTTAGATTCAGTTTTCCTCGTTACAACGTCAACTGCTTTGCCACCTTGGATCTATAATAATATCTGGATAGGGTATTACTAGCTTATTGCTAAAGCACCCAGGGGTGTGCTACCCAGAAATTTTCCTCATAGAGCTTAATGTAAACTAAAACAGCTCGTCCTCAGCTGACAGAGAACCTACACCCAAACTTTTTTCTTTTTAAATCCATCGGTTTTCTTTAAATCCACACTTTAATGCAACACACTGTTGGCTTTCCTCCCGCTCTATCTCCGCTCTGATTGGTCAGTACGCTCCTGTCCTCCTCTGTGCCCGTGCATGAGAGCCACACACGCATGCTTGTTAGTATTTGGCGAAAAGCATCATGGGAGGACCAGTGAAATGCCCAAATATGGGCATTGATATGAATACGGATCTTGGATCACATCTTGGATCACCGGGGCTTGTTTGCCACTTACCGTACATCTTGCCCTCGTCCGACAGGATGATCTTCCTGCGTCCACATGGGGGGTAAATGGCCAGTGCCTCCTGGAAGCTCTGCTCAATGTCGGGGCTCCAAACGCCCTCTGCGTCTCCGTCCAGAGTCTTGTCGTCATCCCCCGCGTCCAGCCCATCCTCGGGGCTGCCGTTCGCACTCCACTCGTTGGATGCAATGGTGGCGGCTCCCCCCGGGCCCGACCCCGAGCCCCGCGATCAAAACACCTGGAACAGACCTGGACAAAAACACACACTACGTTATCATAAAGGATAATATTTATGAACATTGTCAACATTTATGGAGCTTTGTCATCTGTCCCTTATGGACCAATGGCTCTATGTGTTTAATATCATTACATTTATTGTCTTTGATTCTCTGATCTGTGTTGGCAAATCATTGTGATTTAAGGCTATACAAAAATACATTGAATTGAATTGACATTGAATCTCAAACTTTTCCTGATTCGATGATTTAAGAGAAATCTTTTATTTGTCCCACAACAGCAGCATTTCAGTGTAACATCACCAGTTACAGAACAGTGGGAATGAGAAGCACCCAGCACAAGATAAATGAACAATAACTCTGTACTAAAATATAACAAAAACAAAACTGGAACTTTAACATAATAAAGAAGCAAGTATACAATCCCTAGCTGTTGCAAAATGAAGAAGCAAGATGTAGGTTAAACGTATCTAACTTCTTATTGCAGTCAGATTTCTTTTTCATTTCACAGACATGTATCAATGACATTCTTATTTTCAAAATCACAAAATGTTTACTTTCCACTGCCATTCCAATTGATTACAGATTACAGTCTTTGTGGCAGCGGAGTCTCTTGTGTGCAGATTAAATTATTTTCCAAGGACTAACACAGCGGATTATTTACTTGTAGGGTAAGAAAATATGCCTAACTATCCTACGATGGCTTTAAAAATTAAGTAGAATAACAATGAGTAAATGTTAAATCCTATAAGTGATTTCAGTACATTATAAAAATCACTAAAGCGCACTTGGACATTGTTTATACTTACAGCAATCAGCATTAATACAACATTTATAGAAAACCTGAACCTGAAAATTACTCTACAGAGTCTCCAGCATCTTTTGTTTGGAGAGCTACTTTTACCGCAGAAATGGTAATATCTGTTTTGCAGTCCTTATAAAACAGCAGCTCTTATACTCAAAGTCGAGCATAATAGCAGTAACAAAATAGAGAACGAACAAAAACGAGTAATGTAATAAGTTATTTCTTTGGAGAGTAATTAAGTAAAGTAGCAGGTCACTTTTCTTGGTCAGAGGCAGAATAAATGAAAGTAGGAACTGGTCGGTGGCCAAATGAATAGAATGGATTTACTTTTCTTATACTTGTTTTTTTTTCATAATTAAGGTATTCTGACATGACTTTAATGAGACATGAGTTTCACAATAGTTCTTTAATTTGTGGAAGTTCTATTTTGAAGATCATAACAGATATTTCTTTCATGAACACAGCTCTCACGCAGGGAGTTACTCTGGGAACTATGAGCTTCATATACTCGAGTACTTCAGCGTCTGCGCTAAAGGACGTTGCGTCTTCCTCCCAACTAGCGCTGATGTGAGCGGCAACTTCTCTTTGTTTATTCTCATCTTCATCATGAGGTGTGACACTCCCCGATGAACCTCTTACCCCTCATACAATGTGGAATGAGAGCTGAGCGCGAGTCGTGACTGATGCAGGACCAGCAGATGTTCACAGCTGCCTGTGATAATTGAAAAGTAACGTTGTGACGGATCTAAAAAGAAATGGCGTTCCGTTACTAAATTGTCAATTGTTAACGCTACGTTTCTTCACGTTTCCCCGGAAAAAGTAGTTTCTTTGAAATGCGTTACACTCAACACTGGCCGTGAGTCAATAATAATGAATGAAAATAATATTAGGGCCCACTAAGAAATGTCTTGAGGACCGGATTTGGCCCACGAGTCTGAGTTTGACGAAACTGATCATACCGGGTCATTTTTACTGAGTATTTTTCTGGTTGAATAGGAGTTTGCAAAAGTCCTATGGCTGTTTTCTGTTTAGGTTTATATTAGAGACTTCTGAGATCTGTTTTATGGCACTCATTAAACGTCTATGAATAAACAATGCTAACCGTGCACTTATTGCTATAATTTCCTTGATTTAATTTCTTTGGAACAGCCAAATGAGTTCAAGATATTCCATAAAATGAAGTTTAAAGACCTCACTAATCAGAGCTGCCCTCAAAGAATTCTTGTGGTCTGGGAACTGTGTCCCGATGTGGTCGGCTTAGGGCTGAGTGTTTTTCAAGATGCCTTCTTAGTGTTTTGTTGGATCTGAACTGAAAAGGTTACTCCGAACATTGTCAAAATGTGTTTTTACATAAACGCGTATTCACCTCCATTATGCAGATTGAAAAAATAAAACATTAAAACACATTTTTTACTCAATAATAAGCTCACGTCTAACAAGTTATTTAATTATTCTAGGCAAGGCAAGGAAAATGTATATGTATATTATTATTTCTATTTAAGCATAATAAAGAAGAACATTTAAAATTTCTGACTTTCACATAATAGTATAAAAGTATAAAATGAAAAATATAATAAAAATAAGAAGAAGAAGAAGAATTGATAATGCAGAAAACTGTTGCAATATGATCAGTGAGACATCCTTATGATAATTACAACAAAGTAAAGTACTTAAAGTAATCTATATCTGAAGACATCTAAAAAGTGAGTTATTTGATTCCTTGTCTGATCTGAGAACCCGCCAAGTTGACAGTCTGCTCACTCACAACTCTTAACCTGTAATTTATGGAGGTCACTGGAGCCAGAAGAGAAAATATTCACAAGACTAGCTGCTAATTTTAGCTGGGAGGGTGCTGCTTATGCTAGACCCCGACAGTCAGGGTTACGGTGCTAAAACTCAACACTGAAAACAGGCTCTCATCAGCCGCTTCACTCATCGCTTTTCACACTCACACACATAGCACTTTACTAACCAGGAGCCAAGATGGAGGCGCTTATGAACTGTGCATCTAGCATGTAGTTTAGCATGATAAAGAGGTGCAGTAAAGTGAGAGATTGTACACATGCTTCTTTATTATTCTAAAGTTAGAGATTTAATTTCATTTTAGTACAGAGTTATGGTTCAATCATCTTGTGCTGTGTGCTCCTCCTTCCTGCTGTTCTTTAACGGGTGATGCAACACTGATATTTCCCTACTGTGGGACGAATAAAAGAACCTCTTAATATTAATCGTAATTTATGTGTTAGCTATGAGAGCCCCAAAATTAAAATTACAAATAGTAACAGCAACTGAACAGCAATACATTTGTGTAAGCCCTCAGTCGTACAGGGATTAGTCAAAGCAAAGGAAGGTTTCTCACCCATCATCTGTACTTCTTAGCAGGAAACCTGCTAAGAAGTACAGATGATACTTAGCATCACTTTCACATTGTCTAAGTCTGCCAAGTTCAGGTAGCCACATCATATTTTTGTTCAACATCTAATCAAAGCCAATGCATTCATAAAACTTTATGAAGGAGGAGTAAAAGAAGCAGAGTAAAGTTAAGCTGAGCTAATCTTCTTCCACTGTGGTCTCATTCTCATAACATAATAACATATATAGTCCTATATTTTGTGCACTACACTTGGAAAATATGTCAGGGGAAATCAAAGCATAGGCTTAAGTTATAAGTTGTGTGTTGAAATGACAAAAGCGTTGATCTCAGTAGATAATCATCTGAAAAGTCAATATTGGTTTCAATGATTGGGATTTGTGAAGAAAAAATGTTAAATGTATATAAAGTCACAAGGTTTTACTAAACACTATTGGTTTCAATCTACAAGAATGTATAGTAGCTTTTAATTAATGCAGCTAAAATCTGTAACAGTCTTCCTGAAAGTGTGAGACAGGCTTCTTCTCTGACGATGTTCAAATCCAGGATTAAACAGTTCTCTATAGCTGTGCGTAGAACTGAGGGATTTCATCTTCACTCTTTTTATAATGTACTGTGATTATTTATGATTTGAATGACTTGTTCTGTTCAGCACTTTGAGTTGACTTGTGTATGAAGTGTGCCATACATAACTTGCCTAGATGATGCTGTGCTGTTTAGGCTGTGCTCAAATCGTATGATTTAAAGAAGTTCAAAAAGTAAATGTAAAATGATCGCCCTGAGGTAATAAGCGGAGTCTAAATTTACCCGAGTTACTTGACTTTATCGAGTAGGGAAACTCCAGGTCGATGTCCATAGATGATTGTAAATCTATATGAGATGGTTGCAGCTGCGTCCATCAACAAGGTCTTTATTTATCTTTAATCATTTCATTTTCTACATTTAGACACAGATGAGAATCCTTCAGTCATATTTGTAGATCATTAGCGTTTGATGCATCATGGGCACTTTTATTAACAGGTTTATTGACAAACATGAGACCAATAAACATAATTAGTAATAATATTTTGGTATTATAATAAATACAACAATCCTTTCTTATATAAATGTGGAAACCCTTTTAAAGAAAATGTTCTAGTCTTATATCAAAAGTTATTCAAAGTTATTAAAGTTGAATAACTTGTTGTGAAAGTGAAGCCTAAAAGACCCCTTGGTCAGATCTAATGTTCTTTTTTTTCACCCCCTTCAATAAGTTAGAATGTCCGTGGGCAATTGTTATAGTTTAAGAGATATGATGTGGCTTCCTGATAGAACAGACTGAGGCAACGTCAAAGTGTTTTAAGTTATGCTAAGTATCAGGGGTGAGTTCAGGGAGTGTGCGGAGCATGTTAACATGAAGGACTGCACAGGTGCTGGAGCTGAGCTGTGACCTGGTGGCACGCAGCGCTCTCTCTGTTTTCTCTGCTGTCTCAAAGAGCAACAATAGTCAGGGCCCCCCTTCGCACCAGGACCACGAGGATCCGGGAAGAGCCGACGAGTGCGACACGCGGCAGTGGACCGGCAGAGCACCAGAATCTATCGGAGAGTGCAACGAGAGTCCTCCAGCGACAGAGGGGCCAGAATTCCAGACATGTCCTTATTAAGAGAGGCCTGTGCTCTGTTTCTCCTCCTCGCCAACCCCCTCCTCCGCTCTCCAACCGCTCTACCCAAATAAGGACAGGGACCAGGGGATTGCGGAGGGGAGGAGTGGGCGCTGGTGGGTGGGTTGGCTGGAGAGAGTGCACAGGACACAGCGGTGCATGTGTGGGAGTGATGAGAGGGAGGGAGACAGGGGGAG